AAGCCCTTTGTTATATTTTAGGTTGGGTGTGTGGTACTCAAATTCTTGTAAACAATCTTGCAACTAACTTCTGAATGCTCTTCAATTTATTTATGAAGTGATTTTACTTGTCCAAATATTGCAAACTATAGTAGATTGAGTCATATTTTCTTGTATTATAGTTATAGCTTAGGAAATTAATATTCGAGAAGAAACGTTTTAGGAGGTCAGTTAGTCTCCTGGAAGATTGAGTTCAAAGTCTTACTTACATTATGATAATATCTATTTTGTGGCCCATGATTTCCATCACAATATTTATCAAGGCCTCTATCAAGCTCCTTCATTTATAGATTCTTGATCCAGGTTAGCTTGTCCAGCTTTAGCTTTGACCTCATGTTTGTGGCTCCAATCATCTATATCTGATCTCAAATCTTTGCTCTTTAGGCTTTTCTTTTTAATGCATAGTTCTGGTATTTAGTTGTTGCAATTGATCAAATTACTGTTTTTGAAAGTCCTTAATATTTTCTTCACTTCTCTCCTTTCAGGCTGTCCTCAAGCAGTTTGGGGCAGGGGGATATGGTTCAGATCTTGTGACTGATGAAGCTGAGATGCAGCAGCATCATAAGCTCGAAAGGCTTTACATATCCACTCGTGCTGCAAAGGTTGCTCTTGTTAGCTGATAATTTTCCCTTTTCCCCCTGATTTGTAGGAGGCCTTCGCATTGAGATTAGGAAGTTGAGTCTCACTTGCATATTAATTGATGTAATCTCTTAATTAATCTCACATTTTATCTTCTGTTGCATGGTATATCTGTTTGATTGTAGTTTTACATAATCAGAGTTTTGAATATTCTCATTTATAGAATCTTATTGTAGATGAACTATGCCACATACAGACATACATGTAGTGCTTTAGTTGCATTACTTTGAATCAACCAACCAGTCAATTACTTCTCAATTCAAAATGAGTTGGGATTGGTTATGTAAATCCTCCAAAATCCATTTCTGCCCTAATCTAAGTTCTTTTTGTTCTAATTTTAAATATTTGCTTTCTAAGGAAAACTAGATATTTTCTAAATTTCATATTTACACCTACAAAAATAATTAGTTTTTGTTCCTATATAAACCGCTTCTTTCGTTCCTAGTTATATTTCTTCTCCTTTCTAACTGGAGATACATATACAGAATCTTTGAGCTAAAGCGTGAATAAGAAAACATTTGTCATCTTCTGAAATGCAGCATTTTCAAAGGGATATTGTCCGTGGTGTTGAAGGCTATATTGTTACTGGGTCTAAACAAGTTGAAATAGGTCATTTTCTGATCTCTTCCTGATGATTGTTTTTTTAAGGCCAAAAGCTAAGCTTACATATCTGTTGACCACCATGGGCTTCTCTCCAACAGGAACTAAACTGTCAGAAGATAGTAGGAAATATGGCGCTGAAAATACTTGTACAAGTGGTACTACATTGTCAAAAGCTGCATTAGGGTTTTCACGTGCTCGTGCTCAGATGGAGAAGGAGCGAGGGAATCTATTGAAAGCCCTTGGAACACAGGTTAATGAGATAGTCTCATTTTTGTAACCTTCTCAATTATATATAATGTCACTCCCTGGAACAAGTAGATCTATTTAATTCTTATTTTGGATGCATATTTTTTGTGGTTCATCTTTAGTATTAGGCAGAAATTGAAATGAATTGGCTCCAACAATACTCTGTACTCATAAAATTCTTCTTGTCTTGTGGGACCTTTCTATGTTTTGTGCATGTGTATATCGCTCTTCTTAAGTGCTTCCTTTTTTCTTCTAATCCAGACATCAAATTAGGCAGAGAATCATTTTGGACCAGTACTTCTTGTACTGTAACAACCTTTTTATTGTCGGGGACCATTTTTTCTGCTAAGCCATCTATTGTTTTGGCCATGGCGTGATTTTCCTGGGGAAATATAGTTGTAGTTTTTTTATTAAACGTTCTATGTTTTCTGAGAGTTTATTGTAAATTGACATGTTTTATGCTACATGGAAGCATAATGCAATCCTCTCTTTATCCAGGCTTGGGACCAGCAATATGAGCAAATTCATACTAGGTTCTTTTTTAACTTTTAGAAAATGTCAGTTTCTTTAAAATGCCGAGCACTCTGTCAAATATAATGAACGAAGGACTAGTGGAAACTCGGAGAATGGTATTCATTATATTCCTTGCACATCACAAACCAAGCTGGAGATGTCTTATTTATATCATCTGTTTGTCACGTGGTATCCCTTTTTAGTCTTCCATGAACCTGGGACATGTTTAAAGCTTTTGTTTTGGGCTAAATTAAGCCTCGTTACAATAAATGAAGTCAAGTGTAAAGCTGTAGGTTCTTGAGATTGACCTTGGTCGTACTTGAAGTTCTTTGGGTAATTCAAAGAAAAGGGGGTTGGATTTTGTCCCATTAGATCAAAGATGAAGTGGATTTATATGTTTCTCTAGATAACAATGTTCTTTAAGGTTCCAAAATCACGCTGCATCAATCAATTGATGATTTTGGTTCCCTATGTTCTATTTGTATCAGCAAAGATTTGATGAGCACTAGAAAATGTTATTTATTTTAGATCAGAGAGTATCCTTTTCTTCACTTATGTTGAAGTTCAGAAAGACACTTCAGTTTGGTCTAACCGTTTAGGACTTATGTGTGAAGACCCTTCAATTGTTCTCTGTCCGGCATGCCAATCTGTTTCAAGCCATCTACTTGACTGTTGATGTTGTCTTTCCAGGTTGCAGAACCATTAAGGGCCATGGTGATGGGAGCTCCATTGGAAGATGCTCGACATCTTGCTCAAAGATATGACAGAATGCGGCAAGAGGCAGAAGCACAGGTATTTAGTTGCTTCACTGTTTAAAATTGTAAGGCGGGACTTCAAAACAATTTATGTGGCAATTTATTCTTACACATAATGTGTTGTTTTAAGTTACTTTGATGATAATAAAATTGTTGGAGCAGTTAATTGCACTTGCTAGATGCCAGTTCTCTTTTCTGACTAACCTAGATAGGCTGTTGAAGTATCCAGACGACAAGCTAAATTGAGAGAAGGAACAGGTCATCCTGACATGGCATACAAACTGGAAGCAGCTGAAACAAAGCTAGATGACTTGAAGTCAAACACAAATACATTAGGAAAAGAAGCCGCAGCAGCTATGGCTGCTGTTGAAGCTCAGCAGCAAAGATTGACTCTCCAACGATTGATTGCCATGGTAACTATCCTCCTGGAGCTGTGTGCTGTTAAAAGACGCCACATAAAGTAAATTTGACTATTATAAATGCCATTTTTCATCTTTGTGATTAGGTTGAATCAGAACGGTCATACCATCAGAGAATCCTTCAGATTCTTGATCAGCTAGAAGCCGAGGTACGTGTGATTTGTTTAAAAAAATTCTGAATATGATGGACTCCCACTTATTTTCCCACTTTACTTGAGCAACTGAGAGCAATTTGTTTTATGATTCAGATGTTATCAGAGCGCCAGCGTATTGAAGCAGCTCCTGCTCCTGCTCCTCCCGTGGATACTATGCCTCCACCTCCCTCATATGAAGAAGTAAATGGTGTCTCTACTTCACCCGTACAGAATGGATCAACTGATAATATGGGTTACTTTCTCGGAGAAGTGAGTATTTTGAAATTTCAAGTAGATGAAATAAATCTACCAAACTCGTTGAGTGCTCAATAACTTTACTTCTTTCTCGGTTGGTAACAGGTCATGTACCCATATCAAGCTGAATCTGATGTGGAGCTTAATTTGTCTGTTGGAGAATATATCGTTATTCGCAAGGTTTGTTAGTTTATTTTGCTCTGCTCGATTCACTTCTGCATGGTGGTGTCATGTTTTTATGGTATTTCTCATCTAAACTTGAGAAATGACTTTAAACAAAAGGATAACTTTCTGGAAGTTTTTGGGTGCCCGTGCCTGATATAGCAGTTACAAGTGTTTTACTGAATATCCTCAGCCTGTGATTCAACTCCTACTGATCTGAATTGATATTTTGCATATTGGCAACCTCTACGGCTAATAGACTTGTAGAAGTATATGATGTTTGAGAGAGTGATGTTCTATCTCGGAGTTGGCTGTGCTGTAACATCTGTGTTCTGCTAGAATTCTCTCTGTCAACTGCAGCAGTGTATATTTTTCAAATGGTTGATTTTGTCCAAATCTCTTATAGATAACTAGCTAGTGTGTTACATTGGTTTTTGCAGGTTTCCAACAATGGTTGGGCCGAAGGTGAATGCAAGGGCAGAGCAGGATGGTTCCCTTTTGGTTACATTGAAAGAAGGGATCGCGTCCTAGCTAGCAAAGTGGCCGAAGTTTTCTGAAATGCAGGGATTTCTTTTATTCTAAAGGAGCCATCAGATTTCTGTATCTTCTGCTGCTTGCAATCGTTGCTGCCTTTTTGTAACATTCTTTATGTTGTCCCCTTAAATACTCCTTATAGGGGTGTTTTTTTCATTTTTCTTTTTGTTGATGGTTTATTTGATTTTGTTATTTCCTCTTTTTAAGGACTTGGAGATTATTGTTGTATGTTGTGATTAATTTTGTAGCAATAGCTATCTTAGTAACATCTGTTCCTCTCGCAACTCCTTATAATTTGGTCCCGTTTTATATTGGATTTCAGAGAATGTGAGCAAATAATCCCTTTAGCAGATAAGAAAGATCGTATAAAATAAGCTTTGGTCCTTTTGAATGTAGCCAGGTTGGTATACACTCCACAAGGCCAGAACATGGGTGATGGCTCCACAACACTTTTAACCTACTGGAATTCCACAATCAACAACTCTCATTCGGAAAAGCAGAAAAGAGTGATGGACAGGATAAGCTGGCGTATCTGTAGTTTGATTAGGTCCTAGTATATTCAATTCACGAGCTGATTTCTCACGTGTACATTAAAATAATAGTTATTATTTCAAAATGTTGTTTCTTTGATGAAGAAAATTCGTATCAAGAAGAAAAGTGATTTTCTGAGATAATAACTATTAGTTGACTAACCATCAGATAATTAAACCCTTCAATTCACTTCCGAGCACGACTAGAAATTTTCCTATAACAGTTATGTCGGATCAACTTGTGTACACTTCAATATTCCACCAGTACTAGCTACCTTCCACTAACATGGGTTAACTATACTCACTAGGAGATAGATAGGTAGTAATCACATAGCGTTTGTATTCAAACTTGAAACCTCATAGTCATTTTCCCACTTTATTAACCACTAGGCCACACCATCTTTAATAGAAACGGAAAATTATTATGTGCAGACTGCAGATGAAGATAAGGATAACATCAACGTTCCAGGAAAGGTCCTCAAGTAATACAAATATGAATTGTTTTCTTCACATTTAAGTTAACGCCTCAAGTAAAAGGGATATTGCACCCACTAAGAGACTAGTCACCCTTCAAATAAATGCGTAAAAAGGGCGTCACTCTTCATTTCATTTTCACTCAACTGCAATTTGCTTCCAGTTCTGGGAAAACCTCTGAAAATGTGTTAGTCCAAATACAACGGCTCTCTGTAAATACGTCAATTTACCACAAAATTCGACAGAGTATTAAAATGAAATGTGCATTACGGAAAAACGACTCTACAACACTTGGAATTTGCTTTCCTAGCTTGCAAACAAATACATACCAAACTAACTGCCATAAATAGGCTTTCGTAATTATCTAGTCAGGTTGAAGATGCAACTATTAACTTAATGAACATAGTAATACAAACATAACAATTAGCAGTACATAATTGGCCAAGAGTTTGTGCTGTCTTCCTTGACCATACTTCATTTTTGTAGACCAATCTACAAATCAGGACAAATAAATCCGGGTTAAAACTCTCCACCATAAAACTGAAAGGGATACAATTTCCATGTCTCTATGTTGACTGACTCTTAACACAGTTATCCTTAAATTGATACACATTTTCCATAATTTGTTCATTTTTCACTTAGAATTGGAAATCTGTGATGGCAGAAGAATGACATAACCGAAATTAGTTGTCAAATACGTTCAAGGTTAGGAGGAAAGTGGTGGTTTTTTTTAAAAAGGAATTGGGTTAAGTTGGGAGGAAAAGTTTTTGTGTTCGTTAAAAAAAACAATGCAATCTTAAATAGCAGGTAATAGAAAGAAAAGAAAAGAGAGAATACAAGTCATAATTTGGAAAATTACTGTGCTTATTGTTTAAAGGCTAGATTAAAAAAAAGGTCATATAATGATACACATGCTTATCATTAGACATCAAGTCAAAAGCTTAGGTGCATAGAGGGTATATTTCTGAACTACGAGGCATGCATCTAAATAATTGGCATGTACGTATCTCATGATTAGATACTTACAAATGGTCTAAGATCGGTTGCCAGAAAGTTGTGCAAGAATAATAGCCAGTATGATGAAGATGACAACAATCTGCAGTAAATTTGAGAGAATAAGAAAACATCTAATGCGAGAGACATATTGTATCTAAAGCATTAATAAACAATCAGAGCATTGAACACTTACCAGAACTGGACTGTAATTAGGCTCGCTCCTGATTATGTAAGATTTTCTGTTGATAGGTACATGCATTAGTTGATATTCACAGAATTGTGAAGATGAGAGCAACTAGAATATGTACAAACCTTTTGTTCAAGGTTCCCGAGTCTCTGCAAGTTTTCAGGATGGCGTCAAGCCTCTTCAAAGTTTTTGTTGCATTTGGATCGTTATTATTAACCTAAAACAATAACAAGGCAGCTTTAGTGGCAAGTCTTTACATGAAGAAGGGGAACTTTGATATAAAAAAAAAAAAACACAGATAGCAGACGGAATGAAACCCCATTACTATTGGCCATTGAGCAAAAGGTTCTCCAATTTTGACCACCAGTTCAAATAGATGATAGATGTATCAGTTCAATTGCTAAGAGATATCAGTATTATAATAGGCGCATGTTACATTTAGAAGTGTACTAATTTGTTCTATTCTTGAACTACACTGTTGTACATAAGAGAGAGAGTTTACTGGGATAACTAATTTGCAAACAACAATAAGTATTTCTGGAAGAGGACTTCTAAATCTACAGAGTGACAGGCATTTGTATGCACAAGGTTTCTTGTAGCATGATGCAAGGGTCCAGATAGACACTAAGGGGTCGTTTGGTACAAAGATCAATAATGCATAGATTAGTAATGCAGGGATTATTTTTATCAAGTGTTTGGTTCATTGTTTCTTACCTAGTTTTGTGTGTGGTTTAAAAACTCTACAAAAAAAATTCTTTCCAATTATACCCTTGAGTTATTATGGGATTTTCTATTTCATATAATTGGGTCAAGGTAGATAATTGACGGACAATATTATTTTTTCATAGCATTTTAACTAGCTAGGAGAATAAAAATTTGATTGTCATGTTTACTATTTTCTCACTTAAATTATTTGAGAGTAAATAATTGTCATCTTAATAAATTGGAGTTAATATCTCAAAAGGTCACACAACTATAATAATTTATAGAGAAAATTTATTAAACTTTGTTTTGTATCAATAAATTAAAAAAAAAAACTCTTTATTAAAAAAAAAATAAAAAATATAGCAAAATAAATTAAACTATTTTGATGCTCGAGATGTTTTTTTTTTTATATATATATATATATATATATGCTCTTGTTTTAGACTACGTGTGTAATGTTTAATGGACTTCCGTTAGGAGGCAATATTTGACTTATGAATTGTTCTTAAATTCATACATCAACATTAGCATATTAGTCGGATTATAATATTTTATATTAATAATAAATAGATTAAATAACTCATATTTTAGAAACAAAAAATTTATATACTTAAATAATAAAATTTGTAAGCTAATTTATTTAAATAAATTTATTATTATAAATATAAAACATAAAATCAAGAAATAACAAAATGATTAAAAGGATTTGAGGGGTATTTTTGTCTTTACCTAGATTAGTCCAATGGTATTAGAACTAATACCACCAAATGGAAGGTATTAGTTATACACCCTATAATACCATGTAAGGTGTATAACTAATCCATGGATTAGTTATACACCCTACATGGTATTATTGGATGTTTTTTTAAGAGAAAAAGGTTAAATTAGTCTTTTTATAATTCTGGCCAAATTATAGTCACATAATTCTGGCCATTTAACACTTCCCTATTAAATTTTTATTTTGTATCAATGAAATTACTCAACTAAAATTATTATTATTAAAAAAAATATAGCAAAATAAATTAAACTATTTTTATACTCGAGATGTTTTATATATAATATATATATATATGCTCTTGTTTTAGACTACTTGTGTAATGTTTAATGGACTTCCGTTAGGAGGCAATATTTGACTTATGAATTGTTCTTAAATTCATACATCAACATTAGCATATTAGTCGGATTATAATATTTTATATTAATAATAAATAGATTAAATAACTCATATTTTAGAAACAAAAAATTATATCTAAATAATAAAATTTGTAAGCTAATTTATTTAAATAAATTTATTAGTATAAATATAAAACATAAAATCAAGAAAATAAACAAAATGATTAAAAGGATTTGAGGGGTATTTTTGTCTTTACCTAGATTAGTCCAATGGTATTAGAACTAATACCACCAAATGGAAGGTATTAGTTATACACCCTATAATACCATGTAGGGTGTATAACTAATCCATGGATTGGTTATACATAGACCCAAAATTCCTACCAAACATAGTACTAAATAATACCACACATAATACTTGGACTATTTTTCCTAATACTCCCTACCAAACGACCCCTAAGAGGCACAAAGGCACACTGCGCATATACTTCTTCCAAGACAAGACATGGATTGTTGGCATTGAACAAAAACAAAGGCGTAATCCTCAATATGACCCAGCAAATTCAACATTATCACATTATAACTGGGTTATTAGGAATAATCAGAAATAAATAAGTTCCACACCTTGGATTTCAGCATACAAGAAAAGTCAAAAAAAGCACCATATACATCTGCCATAGTCTTGGTCCGGTCAATGACCTTAGCAGTAAGACCTAGAAAGAAGAAACCAAAAGTTATTAATTATGACGGGTATGATGGATATATTAAGAAGCCGAACAAGCATAGATATATTAAAAACTGAAGCCACAATAATATTCAAAAAACACAAAATCTATTATAAATAATTTCAATCTGCAAATGTAGTAGAACATATAGATGCATGAATAATACATAGATATAGGGAGATGTGGAAAGATCTGAAAGAATGACCATAAGGCGAGGAAGTTAGATCCTATACAACCAATGAATATACAGTAGACAGTGTTTAAGATTAAAACCCCTCAATTACATGATGAGTTCTAGAGGAAGAAAGTCATTTTGCATATGACAATATTACTATTGTCAAAAGGATGGGACGCAAAAACAAAATGGCCGAACTTCAAGGAGTCAGATCGCAATCGGGTATGAAGTCACAAGAAATGCATGTTGACAAAAATAGTTCTTACCACGCCTCATTTTTACCACTCCTCTGAAGACTTCAATGTTGTCGTAGCACATAGCTAATGTCCCAATTGCCATGACCTGATACCATTAGACAACACAACAAGGCAAAAGTGTGGTAAAGAAGGATGCTTAGCAAATTACTAGTGTAAAAACATTGTTTCTGGACGCTGTAAAAATTCTTCCTCCCAGCCTACAAGCTCATATTTAGAGAAATGTGCACAATCTATTTTATTTTTTGATCGCTAAAGGGAATTGTACGCTATCTATTCATTCACCACACTTAACTCCATGGCCAATTAACCAAGCATCAATATCAATCATGGCAACAAGACAATATGGAAGTACCAAATTTGCTGAAGCAAACTCTGTCAAATCAGCACTTCCCCAAACACAGAACATAAAGTTCCATCTTAGGAACACTTCTTCAAAAAATGAATAGATGGGAAGAACAAGAACTGGAAGTCCAAAAAGTTAAAAAAGGAATTATCAACTGTGGTAGAAGAAATGTCTTCATGTAGGAAGCTTTTAGCTTGATAGACAAATTGAAAGTAGAAAGCCTAGAAAATAACCAAGAGGATATACCTGTGGAATGGCACAGAATCGAAAGATGGCAGGATCACGCAAATTGAACAAGTAAGTCAAACAATCTTCTACATGTGACAAAGCATTGGTGACCATTTCATTGAGACATTGCACTGCCTTAACCGAGTTCTCCTCGTACTTTAAGTCCTGTGGGAAATAAACAGAGATGTCAATTAAATTATAAAATGAAACCCATCTTTCGACTTGGACCAAACAACAGCACTTGCTACCATGCACTCAAGTTAATTCGATACCTATGATGTCAGGGGAAAACAAAATGAGAAATTCATACAAGACCAAGGATATGAGGAACTCAAACCTCAAGCTTGTTAACATATTTACTCCAAATCTCACGGGGCCAGAACATACGGCACTTGGGTACTTCATTTATATCTTCCAAATAATCTCTGATAATGTTTGTTTTCTGCAATATATAGCAAATATGTTAGTATTAGTGCCCTCAACAAAGAAGAATCTCAACGAACGACAGTTGTGCCTGCCACACATGTTAAGGTCCAAACCTGAAGAAATAAACCCATGGAGTTGGAGAGAGAATCTGAAGCCAGATCTTCTGTCCCAGAGGCATGGAACAGTTTTGACAATCCTAGCCCAACAAGCCCAGCTACATAGTGACAGTATTCGTCATAATCATCAGTTGTTTCCACCTGCAGGAAGAGATTTATTGAAGCTGAAATACACAGAGGGATTGAAGAGCATTGTAGAAATGAAGCTTGGAGCAAAAAATTATTAGCTCGGTAAAGTACCTACACATTAGGCGCGCTTAAAGGTTTAAATTACCTCTCAAAACCTAACAAGATTTACCGCTAGTCAACCAAATAACATGTACTTGTTTTCTATTGTTAATAGCCATGTTTTGCTTAACAAACAAAGACTGAGACAATAATTCAACAAATATCATAGTATTCATGCAGGCTAACAATGCTCAACTTCGTATACCAAAAATTTTCCAGTAAAATATCCAAGGAATATATGGGTGAAAAGGACGCCTAATCTCAAATAGCATAAATACTAGTAACCACGCCAATCATAATGTACTGAAGAAGAGACCATGGTTTATACTTTTGAAGAGGTGGAATAATCCAATGTCTTGAAGACGAGGAATTGCATGAAAAGGGAAACTTGAGACTCTAGCCAATTCATACAAACGAAAAAAGCAAACAAGTATAAATTGCATTTTGTGAGTATCAGAAAATTTGATCTTGTTCTTTTTGGTATATCTTGCATACCTCCTTGCATATAAATTTTGCCATTCCTGCACCCATCCTCATGGTAATGTCCTCAATTGCCTGCTGATAACTGCACAGATATAAGAACATAATCTTCATTATAACCTACTACTCATACAAAAGGAACCCAGAGTTTAAACAACATACCCAATGTTATCCCACAAGTGGAGTCTGGAGATATCAGACCCAATGTAATCCCGCAGAGTTTATACGTTTTGAAATTCAGAGTACAATCTGAGTTCACATTTCTTGTTTCATAAGTAATATGATTTTAGGGTTGAGGAGGGCAGAGGAAACTGCACCACTTATAAGTAACATTTCTGATTCACATTAGGTCACGTGGATTGAGAGTTGAGTTTGGAATTCTCCAAGCCTTGCAAAAGAGTTTAAATTCTGGAGGACATACTGCTACATTATATTTATTGTGTTTCTGAATATTGACTCGAATGATGTGAGACTTGTCGTTATTTGACATGGATTGCCAGGGAATAACCATCACAAACAGGAAATTTGCACAAAGCAATTATTTGAATGAGAAAATAAGACCCAAGAAAGTCTCTAGTTCTAACAGCAAGAACCCTGTCCAGTGATGAACAGATATCTATTTCATGCAAAATGATATCCTAAAATCCCTGATAGAAAGCTTCACGCTCACTATTTCATGAAACTTTTTACAAGTTTCCAAGTATAAAGGGGCTTCTAAATTGTCATCATAAGAACACTCGAGCGATTTCTGATTTAACTATTTATTTTATACCAAAATTTAAGGTCAGAAGAGAGCGCCCATTATCCCGAGATTTGAATGTTGTTGTTGGTCCTAAGGGTGGCCCTAGACGGATTTCTTGGGGAAAAAACTATGTCTTTACAAAATATGCTGATTGTAACCTTTCAATTGAGCAAAATCTTAGTATCAGAAAAACACAAAAGCTGGGTAAGAACTCACAGTTTACCAAGTTCCAGAAAAGCAGTCGAAACATGATGGAATTGGTCCATGAGAACCTTGTACTCCTTCGTACCACCTAACATGTTAAAATTGGGATTAGGAAATCAGTCTATAATGCTTCAAGTTATTCGGGAAAAAATGATCATGGTCCCACCCTAGACAGAATGTCTTTGTAGGGAGGGCAATGTGCATTTCAAAAGATTAGAGTAAGAAAAAGAAACTCCAATATAAATAATGAAAGAGAAAAAGAGCTTCTATTTAGTGCAAGAAACTTCAGTATAAACAAGTAATATGAATTTCAGAAGATTCCTAGCTTGCTCCCTTCCCCTTAGCATCCTACCTTTGAGTCAGGTTCACCCATTGGGCCAACATGTCAAGACATTTTCAGGAGAAAATTGACAAAAGAGCCAATTACAACCACTAATAATGCGGAAACCATTCCAGGGTTAAAACATAGATTTTGAAGCTCATTTCCCTATCGGCATCCTACTATTTGTATAGCGAAAGAAATAAAATCAACATAAGTTATTTACCCAGAGCAAATGAAAAATTAGATTAGAGGACCCACTAGAATGTCCTAGAACTTTACACATTATCTTATTCAGGTCAATGTCTAAGTGCTGGCCAGCCCTCAGATGTGAAAGCTCCTCCATGTTTATACATGAACCAACAAATGTATACAGTATAACTAGCAATACAAATCACAACGACCTGCCATCAGCATACAGATGATGAGCTAGTAATGATAGGGTCTTTAGTTTTATCCCCCTCCCCCCTAAAGTATGGATTTTTAAAAAAAATCAAAAGGTTATTGAGAATGAGACATAATATAATTAAGTAATCAATAGTGTGCTCTCTCTAACAATTTAAGTTTTTAAATAAGACTTCAACATGATATTAGAGAGAAAGAGACCCTATTTCAAATCTCACAGCCACCTAAAAAGAAAAGCAAAATAAATTTCCATGTGTTTGGCCCATGAAAAAGAATCAAACCCACACATGAGAGGGTGTGCTGCAACATATATAATTCAGTAACTAGAAATTGTGCTTTTTTTAACAGGATTTCAAGGATTATGAATTGTTTGGTGTTGAATGACTCATGTCGACAGTGTCTCTAATATGGTAGTAAATAGGGAATTCAAGAGGAAGCTATGGCCTTTTGCAAAGTGTGTTTTGACAGACGACAACTTGAGAAGAGGGAAATGCATTATGGACCGCTGGTGACTGGTGCAGTATGTGCAAGAAAACAGTGGATGACGTGAATCTTGGATCATTGGTAACTTGCAGCATATGTGCAGCAAAAGAAAAACATTTTTGGGTAGACAGTGAAATATTTTGCATCGGTTTCCATCTGACTTATTCAAAATAATTTCCTTAGTAACCTCTAAAAAGTAGTTGAAGTCTTTCCAACTTGGGATTCTTCAATTGCAAAAGCACACTCATTATAAGAGAGAAGCAATATTGAGAATTTAGGGAGATCAACAAGTTGCATTCAGAGACTTACATGCAAAGTGCCATTCACGATCATAAACATGCTGATGAAAAGAGATCAGAATAGGTACTTTAACATCGGTGGGTATGCTGGTATCATCCTCTGTCCACAATAAGAACATCCAAATATGAAAAATAAGCAAATTATGTGTTACTCAAAAATATGAGTGCAACAACCCTTGAATCAACTAAGATTACAACCTAAAAACTACCTTATGAATGTCTAGAATGAAATGAAATAGTAAGTAGCATATGATAATTCATACTAGTATTTAAGCAATAAAAGTTAGTCAAAACTTGTTTATAACCAAGAAGAGTTCAACAGGAAGCTGGTAGGCAACTCGTATCATATAAACTAAATATCAAATACCAATATACCTAGTATGAGAAGAACAATTTGCTTCTTTTTTTTTATAAGGAAGAACAACTTGCTTCTTTTCCTCTTTTTGATAAATAAGAGGTTGAAGTTTTCAACAAGTTATTATTCCTTCTGTCGTCATCTTTCGTTCCTCGCAAGAAGCAATAGAAGATAAGTATGACGAACTGAATCAACGATTCAACCTACTCTTTCAAAGTTAGAAGACTAAATTACTAAATTAATCACACCAAATTTTGCACAAAAATGAAGAACTAATACCAGTCATCTGCTTTCTGAGTTTCATATCTCCTAAGAATTCATAAAGTACAAACAAATTTAGATGATAGTAAACGAGCTTACCAACAGTGTCAAGTGCTCGAAGGACCAAATAGAATATGCATACCTGCAACGTTCAATGGAAGTTTTAAAAACAAATTCAAAACAATAGTAATAGTAACACAACTATCCAGCAAATTAACACAAATCAAAAGGAATAACAATAGATTATATCAATTCCGATCAATTCACAGAAACAGAATATAAATTCTTCCTAATTAAGCAAAAATACAAACTTCTACAAAACGAATATACGAGCACACACACAGAAATTTAAAACAGATTGAAAACCAATCAGAAAGTTAACGAATCGCAAGCGCTATAGCATAAATGCCAGAGAAAACATTTTTCTGAAGAGAAAAAACAAACTTACAGCATCACGAAAAACACAAACTTACAGCATCACGAAGCTCGACAGGAAGCTGTTGAATGACGAGAGCAAAACTACGAGAGACCTTTTGAAGCATTAAGTAACAGAAGCCCCAATGTGGCTCCGGCGGGATCTGCTTCTCCGCATGTCTAGCCGCTAGTTTCAGCTTTATCAATGGATACAAATCATCTGGATTCTTCAGAATCGCCCTCAATGTTCCCATTCTTCTCAACAAATTCAAACACTGTTCCGATCAATCACCGATCCACAATCAAATCACACACAAATACGTGTTGATGTATGAAGAAAACAAATCCAGAAAGCCAAAGGTAGAGAGGGAATGGCGTGGGAGTGTTCGGTAGAGGAGAGCGTTTGCAAAATGACAATATATGAAGAAGTTAATGAATAATGAATTTGTGGAAACGACTATACCTATGCTGTGTATAATGGTGTAATATTATCGTCTGACGTTAAAGGAATCTTTACTGCTGTAACTTTTAGTATTCTTGTTTACAAAATTTGGAATTATTTATCTGCATATAAAATAGTTAAAATAATAAAAAATACATTTTCAAATCTTTTTTAATAAATCACTTCTGGGATTTTTGTATATAAATAATTAATTTTTAATAATTATATAATTATTATTATTATTATTATTAACCCTTTCACCACATATAGCATTGTATTCAACCAAACATTATAAAATTATTTGTAAAGTGGTAGGGTGTGATTTCTACTTTGATATGGTTTGTGTAAAGCCTAATTATAAGAGCCGTATTTACTTAACACCGGACTGCTTCCTTGAAAGATTATCTTATGTAATCATTGATATTATATTTATATTATTAGTAATAATATAGTAATAACATTTTCGATAGCTCCTCCCTTTTTTTGCCTGTTTTTTTAA